TAGTGAGTAATTGATCTGCAGTGAGAAAGTATTGTTGAAGTTAACGTTCGTTATAGCGTTTGTTTTAGCGCGAATGTTGAAATTGGGTGTATCGTGAAGTTGTGTTCAGAAAGAATAAACCAGTTTTATTGAGTAAGGACTTGTGTCGCTGGAGTTTCGTCGGAACGAAGTTACGGAAAATCAATTAACAAACGGAGACGTAACAATACCTTCCTCCAACAAACTGTGTGTTTCACATTGTGCCTTTGTATAAGCAAGTTTTTCAAAAGTATATAGAACAAGTTAATACAGTAGCTAATACAGTTAATACAAGTCTGGTAGCTGAACAAAGTGCCACTCAGAATCAAAGGTACCCATCAGTTGTTTTACAGAGGTCGAGTATGTTATATTAAAATTAGTTTGTAGCCTCACCATGCAGCCACATTGTCATGCTTTATCTACTGATCATGTATCTTGACAATAGCCTTGTAGCATAGTTTCTATTGCAAAAGGCTTTATGGCAAGATAGGCATGTCCAAAGCACACTTCACACGCTCAAATTGCAGCTATTCATATTACTTCAGAGTCAATAAAGAATGTAGCTTAGCAAAGAAAGTTGCCATGAAATACAGCAAATGTAATTTTCTTATAAAAAAGTGCATTAGGAAGAATACTAAAGAGCATTGAGCAAAATAATAGCATATTGTTTTCCAAATTTCATGACATAGTCAAATCATGGTGAAATGTTACTTGTATCTCAAAAACAAAGCTCCTCTTGTGAAATTCCATGGTACATGATGGACCAGATGTTTAAATAAATAAGTGTAGTATGACTTGTTGAAGGCTGAATGAAAATAGATGTTTTACTTCTGAGTCGGAACAGAAGAACTGCTGTTACAGGCTAATCGAACTAGTAGAAAGGACTACTTTGTTTGGAAGAACTAATGGCATAAACTGGTTGAAATTAATATGTTCTATATGGATTAAAAGTAAAACAAATGAAATATATTTAATACAGGAAAAATGAAAATAAAGTTTATTTTGAAATAAATTGAAACTTTTTTTATCACACTAAAAACTTTTACATGTATAGTAAGCTAAAACATGCATGAGACTTCACAAGTAAGTTTTGGCTCTCACATGATGGAAACATAGCTAATGGGAAATACCAAAGCTGCTTTATGATCTACACTCTCTCTGTAGCTGGCAAGTCACAAAATTAAATTGGTAAGTTTGAGTGCTTATGTCTCAAAATTTCAGGGTTTGATCCTTTATATGAATGCTGCACAGATAGCTCATTGCACTTAAATAAAAAAAATATATCAACCTTAAGGCTTGTTTAATTATTTTTCCCATCATTTTTCTACTTCATTTGCAGATTTATAAATTGAATCACCAAAACAAGATATTATTGTAACAGCTTTACAGATTTATTGAACAAGTAGTACAAGCCACTAATTGATGTCTTTGTACATGTGATTATGTAAACAATGAATAAAAGTGACAGTACTTATTTTTTCAATTGAACAAGAAATGCAGAACATAATATATAGCACACTTATAATAAGATGATATGTCTTAGAATGTTGCATAACATCATAATATATTATTACACAAAACCCTACTGAAACTGAAAGATAATATATATATTTGCTTTGTAGACTACTGTGACAAAAAATTACATGAAGACAGGATTTTAGCCACCAATTATGTCAGGCAACATATAACATTTATTAGCTTACTCATCACAGACAGAATTGTACAAGCATTTTCTTGAACAAAGCAGCAAACCTTTCAGGTTCATATCAGCCTGGGAATTGTAAGTAAACTCCCAAAATATACCCTTCCTATACAAATATTAATATCACCAACACCCTCCAAGCCATACTAATCTTACAAAAATATAGGCATACATACGTGATAGTAATTCCATATAACATATATTATATATAATATATATATATATATATTCATATATAGTATTTTACATTTATTTTTTCTTTTAAAATATTCAGTTATGTGTAAGACTATACAAGTGTTTGCATATAGACAAATATCTATGGACATGTTTCTGATAATTTACAAATTTAAAAAGAAAAGTGACTACAAATCAGTTCATTATTTTGTGATTCAAGAACAAATGCTATGTGATATCTTTAGCTGAAAAGTAATTAAAAGCATAGCTTGCATATTAAAAATGAAGACTTGCCTTTCTTTCTACTGGTCAAGATGAGTCCACAATATTCATAGCAATGTTTCATAGAAAGTCACATTCATAAAATCAACAAATGAAACCCTGTTAATGGCTGAATAATCCTGATTCACATATTACATTATGCCTTTTGCTCTCTCTCACTTGAAAACCCTAAGGTAACTTTGAGGACATTGCAGTTCACATTTATAGGTTTTACTCTAAACTGGGGAATGTTTAATTAATTTGATTTCAATAATAGGATGGCTCTAATGGTGGATTTTCTCTGTGGTTAATCTTAGTATTACATGTCTACTGCTGGACTACAAAACTACCTTGCACTTGTTGTCAAGTATATATTTGTAAAATACTGTACACATGTTCATGAGTAATACTTAAACTACTACATATATTTTGTTACCTGTTATCTGAAATAGTCTTATACTTAGATACTATATGGCCATTATTACTTCATGTAAATATTACGAATTAAATCTTCCATAACTCAGCAAGTATGATTTAAATATTTTAAATTACCTGTTTTAATATTACTGTTACAACAGTGAAGATAAACTGTGATAAATGTTAAACAAAATGGTGATTATCTTGATTTATATCAAGATTCTTCACAGCAACAAAACACTTGTGTGTGTAACTTGTTAGTTTTCTGTACAGGATAAAAAAAGTGTATATGCTGAACTAGAATGTGTTTGCACGTTCATCTTAAATAGTTTATCATTCTCAAGAGAATTAAAAAATGAATAAAAATTAAGATTCAAACAAAAATTTTCACCATTTGGATTAATGTAACTTATGGGTTAATTTACTATAAACCCATAAAAAAAACTGTATTAGACTACAGCTTAAGGTACAAAATTAACAACTATTTTCTTCCAAACTTCTCTTTTACCTAAAATTTCCTGTAACTATAAAACTGCACTCTTTTAAGGCACAAACTTTTTGTTATAGATCTTTTAATAAAGAAACAACTCTTTTTGTACTTCCATTAACAACATTATTAATACCAATCGTCACTGTATTATTGGTGCAAAATGTACCTAATGAACTATTTATCTATTGAATATTTGTCCCCAGTGCATTAATTATCTAATGAGATATCTATCAATTTACAATTTTGTCTCCAACCTTTTCTGTTTCTTTTAGTGCATGAAAACCCTAATGTACATTGTTAACAGTCTGTGCACAATATCTGTAGATGCTTCTGTTGTATTTTTACTTTCTAAATATTAGCAAGTATTAGAAAGTGATGCTAGAGACGTTATTAACTTCTTTACAAGTAAATAGAAGTTATTTCATTTTTAATGTTTCAAGACCAAGGCTTCAAAGATTTGACTCATCATTTACAATTGCTTGACCTCCCCCACACTACTTAATTTTATTCTCACATCTCAAAAAAACTTTTAACAGAAGACACTGACACTTGGTTAGGGGCTGATGATATAGCAGCAAAAGTGGTCTGTGGGAATGAGTGCTGAAACTAGTAGTGATTATACTGAGTAGCTTGGTTCTTGCTATAAATTTCAAAACTACAAGTACATGTTTTATAAAGATTAAAAGTAAAACACAAACATGTTAAAACATTCCTTATACAATTATGAATGTTGATCTGTGTGACTTTCAAACATTTTTTAATGTAAGAATTGTTCACAAAACTAACCATCCTTTTAAAAGATATATCTATACAGCTTAACTTGTCTTATATTATCACATCTAAATTAAAAACCACAAAATATTTCTAAATGTCTCATACCCAAACAGATTATTTTACATGTTACATTAAAGGTAACAAATTACACACAAACATAGATGGGTGATCTAATAAGGAAATGCCTTCAAACACACACAAAAGATATTTATAGACTATTACTGATGTCAGCTTCTCACCATTTTATCTTACACAGTTACGCAACTTGCAAAAAGCATAAAAAATAGTCAATTGCAGTACACTGGACTTCTTAATAACATCAAACCTCCCGTTCTCACAGCATCCAAATTAGTCAGTGTTGATTCTATAAAAAAATTGGAAGTTATTTCTGCATTCTCAGGAAAATTAGATTAATTATATAATTAAGGAATATATTTTTTGTGCGTGCAATACAATAAGGCCTAGTAACAAATATAAGCCAATTTTCTTTATCAGGAATCTATAAGTCACAAGAAATGGCACTTTCTTGTGTTCCTTTCACACAATCCTTACTTATATAATGATAAATCATCAATTTCTTAGATACTTTAAAACTTACATCATGATAAATCAACAATTTCTTACATACTGTAAACCTTTTAGTTGTGCTCATAATTTTAGAATATACTGGGAGACTTTTTCAGATCTGAATGATAAATTATTAAAAGTAATTACTGTTTGCCTCAACTAATATTTTCATATACACTTCTATGCCTTATTTTCCATCTTTTACAGACAGTGTAAATATGACACTGAGAACATTTAATAAGTATCCCTGTAGTAATAATCATAATAGAAAGTAAATTTTTTAATAGTTGATACTTTCACAGTATCATCATTTTCAAAAACAAGATAGTATTGTTTTGGCAAAAGCTTCTCATGACACCCCTGCTTCTAGGTTTAGAGAAGCAGTAAGGGGGTCATAACTTCCAGCGAGATAGTAAACATCATTGTTGTCAAACATGGAGCCATACTCGGACTTTCCACTAGAGGTCTCTGCAACTCTCCTGGCTTTGTATTCTGTCCACGAGAGTACTTCACACTTGTGGGAGATTGTCTGAACATCATTTTCATCCATGTGTGGTGATTGAAACACTGCTCCCTGAATAACATTTGAAATTTGATTAAAATTCTTGTAATGTGTAATAAATGGTAAAAGAAACAGAACATAAGCTTAAAATCTATGTTCAATACTCCAAATAATTTTTTCTTGTTCAATATACCAACTAAACCTTTACTAACAGGAAAATTGAGTTTCATATCCAAACTTATCTCATTTATAATACCATTAAATGTTATCTAATCACAGTAAGTATGTTTTTAAAATCCAAGAGCACAGTTAAAATATAAATCATAAAATAAAAAAAAATATTATTTACTTCCAATAAGTTCAAAAAATGTAGTTTGAGGAACAAAATATTAAAGTTGGTATAAGTAGTAGAGCTATTATTTTCTCCCTACTGGATAGGCTACTGTCTGGTAGAGAATTCAAGACAAACAGAATCAGTGTTTTCAATAAGAATTAAAAAGTATATTCTGTAAATATCTAGAAATCCATTTTCTGACCAGATAAAAATCCTTCATACCAGAAAAAGGTATATGTAATTTGAAAGTGAGTACAAGAAAAGTCTACTTTTAAAGGAAAAAAAGGAGTAAAATGTTTGTGATGAATGTTTCCAGTTTTGATAACAGTCCATTTTTTTAAAAAGATTTCTCACATAATTTTATGAAATTACCTAAGTATCACTAAATGTGAAATTAATTAGTCTGGTGAGTTCCCCAAATTATAATGTTTTAAGAAACATTAGATGTCATACAGAGTCATTTCTACAGCCATATGTAATAACCTTTTATTGTAGATTCAACAAAAATGCTGTGGTTGAAAATTACAAAGATTATCTTTGACTTAATGTACCACCTAAATGGGTAAATATTAGAGCCATCTTTAAAAATAGTGAGGCTCAACTTTGAAATGCCAAATTCTTGAATCTTCAAAAGTTTTGGTTGACTTACCTTTGGCTCAAGAAGTTGATTTCCTCCTTTTGTTTCATCTGGGTGATAAAACCATTTCACTTTCACCACCATGTTGCCCCCCCATGATTGCCACATGGTTTCGATTCTTCCAATGAAGGGGAGGTGGGGTCTTCCTGTTGACAGAAAAACTGCACAGTCACCTACCTGAAGAAAAACATATTTAAATAGTTGCTTGTTAATTCATGTCAGTTACCCATTTTATGATGGAGACTTGATTTGGTGCTTATCTTTCTAGAAATACCTTATGAAGTGAATTTAAGTTAATATAATGAAAACCTATAAATAAAACATCCTACATTTCATTAGCAAATACAAGATAATAAAGACATATCCAATGTATAAGTATAATGACACTATAATTGGGTTTTGAAACAGTTAATTTTTTTTAAATTGTACATTAATTATGTGATTAGTGCTTCAACTATTGGGACTTCACTCTAGTTAATAAATAATGTAGATGCTTTAATTACTGACACAAAGTATACAAGTGCAACTTAAGAGAATTTTTAATTGTAATTGACATTAAATACATTATTAAAAGAATACAAATCAAGACTTAAGAAGCCTGCCAGCACATTGATAGAGTTCAGAATGTTGCCAGATAAACACTAGGTAAACTACAAGAAGGAATCAAAGATACTGGAATACTAAAGCATGCCTATCAGTGCATTGCTAAAATTAAGTTAACAGTTTTTGTTTTTTTTATAAGAAAATCTACATAAGTTTACTTACATAATGTTGTACTACAGAAGGGTTTCCAGATTTACAAGATTACTTATTATTAATTGGTACACCTCAGAAGGTTTTTTACAGATGATCCACTAATGAATTGTTACATTACAGATTGTCCAATGTAGAAAATTGTCAACGTATATTCTAGAAACATTTCCTGTAGACCAACTTCCATATCCATATGTTACAAAGGGTTATCCAGAACACCAGTATTTATTTTTATACATTACATGAGGTTGGCCAGTAAATGAATGATAGCTGTGGCTAACTTACTAATATCTTGATTTTTTTTTTTTTACTTATCTTAAACAAAGTACACAGAGAAAAAAATAAATACTTGCAAATAGTGCTGGCTCAAGTTCAAAAATTGAAGGGTGTGAAAATAAAAAACTGCACCCTTTTTGAGATTTTTATTTATGTTTCTGTACTTTACAAAATTATTTTTAAAAATTCAGAATAAAGAGTACAAAAATGTTACATAATGGAAAAATACATACAAGAAACAAAAATGAGTCTTTAAAAAATGGATATTCATGAGTTTTTAACATGGCAAATCTTTTCCTTAATTTGTCCATATGAATTTCTCTGACTGTTTGTTTGTTTTGAATTTCGCGCAAAGCTACACAAGGGCTATCTGCTCTAGCCGTCCCTAAATTAGCAGT